TCGATCCTGTGTCGTGACAGTGGATTTGGGTCTGCAGTCAGTTCTGCATGTTGTCCAGTCTTGCATGTTTGCACCCAGTTTGGAAGGAGTATGGGTGCGTCGTATCGTCGATGCGTTTCCTCTTCGGGTTACGCTGTCGTGGTGTTGCTGCATGTAGGTCCACATTCCGTCATTGCGGGTGCTTGCGATGTCGATTCGTAGGTTCACACCCTACCAAATTGCTTTATCGGGCCGTGCTGGATCAGCGTTTTATCCCACCTATCGGCTGCTCTTGCAGCTGTTACAGTTTTCGTTGCGCTTCACTGTCTAACACAGCTTTTCGGTGCTTCAGTGGCCGCCAGTTCGCACCAGACTGCTTGCGCTTCAGTTTACTTCGAGTTGAGTATCCTCCTCGGTTTTCTGGCCGCTGCACAGTTCGTTTGGATTTACAGTTTCTCTAACACACCACCCATTGTTGAATGTTTCAGTGTGCGACGATTCGTACACTGTGCTTTCGACGATGTTCGGTCGCAATAAGCGTTTCCATCTGCTGCCCGCTGTTGAGGATCCTCTGCGCCGCCGAATAAAAAGAGTGTGCTTGTGTGTGGTTGTGTGTTGGTGTGGTTGTGTGTGTGTGTGTGACTTCCTGGCCTCTGCAAGGCAATGCAAGGCGAGATGGTCTCCACTGTAGCCCCAATGCGGCTCCAGGAGGCCTCAAGAGGCCCCCCAAGGCCCCAAGTGGCCTTCGAGAGGCCCCCACAGTGCCTCCGAGAGGGACGCGCGGTTTCTATCACGCCTCAAGCTGGCAACAAATCCATGTTGGAAGGCGTTCGGTCCACTTGGTAGCGTCCAAAACCCGGAGAGCAAAGGGAACACACAGCGGAAAGCTTTCCTGGCAAGCCTTCGGAAGCTCTCGTGAAGCACTTCTGGGGCTCTGGGGGGCTTCCCTGGACCGCTTCTGTGAAGCGCTACCACGAACGCTTCCACGCGTGCCTGCACGCGTGCAGGCACGCGTGGACGCTTGCCGGAAGCGCTCCCGGACCCGCTGCGAGGTTTTACAAGCCGCTGCGGGGATCCTGGACCGGCGGAGATGGGCTGCTGGCGGGCACCACCACCGTCGGGCTTCTAATCTAAAACCCTCTAGCTCTCAGAGAGCTCTCCGGGAATCTTCGCGTGGCCAGGCTAGGGGGAACGTCTTGCGACGTGGCCTTCCCCTCACAAGGCGGCGAACCCCTCCTGTTGTCAGGATCCCCGGGAACTTCGTGGGATGAACCCTGCCTTGGCCTGGCAAATCTCCAGGACGACGAGGCAAGGCGAGACGAGACAAGACAAGACCAGCCAAGACAGGACATAACAAGACAAGACAAAACAAGACCAGACCAGACAAGACAAGACAAGACAGGACAGGACGAGACGAGACGTGACAGGGCGAGACAAGACGAGACACGACCAGACATGACAGCCTCCGAGTGAGTCCAAGATGGCCCCGAGACGCCCCAAGAGGGCCCCTGAGGGTCCAAACCTTGAGGAACTCATTGAGTTGCGCCTTCTTCCCTGCTCGCTTCCGAAAGGCTCTTGATGTTTCAAAATGGCCCAAGAGAGGCTCCAGAAGGGCCCCAAGGCCCTCCATACGTCCCCAAGGCTCTCCGAAGCAGTCCCTAAAACAACCCGAGGGACGTCAAGATGGCCCCAAGTATTCCCGGAGGGCCCCAGATAAACGCAAGAGGGTTCCGAGAAGGCCCCAAGACGATGCGCCTGTCTTGGGCTGGGCGGATTCTTCCCAATGGGAGGCCCACCCACTCCAGCGCTGCTGGGGCAAAGCACGTGTGTTGCGTCGGGGCCGTGAGCTCGGCGACACGGCAGAGTCAGGCAAGAGCACTGGAACCACGAGCGCGCTGCCGCGCCGTCACGCGGCAGCCCCGGCGGCGCGAGGTGCGCAGGGCTCGCCCGTGGGGAGCCGCGCCGCGCGGAGACCCGCGGAGAGGGGGCAGCCGTGAGGGGGAGGACGAGGCGCTACGCACAGATAGCGCTTTCGTTGCCCACAGGGCGCGCTTTTCGGGGCCGATTAAGTGCAGAGGCGGCGGCGCGCGGTTCGCTGCGTTCGCAGTTGTTGTTTACGGTCTGGGGTTCTTTACTGTTCGCGGTCATGGCAGTGGCACGGCGCAGTGGGGTCTCCGCTGTCTTCTCCTCGCCCCCGCCCCTCCCCCTCTGCGCTCTCGCGTCGGCCCCGTGCCCCTCTCGCCTGTCTGCTGGGGGCGGCCGCCGGCAAAGTGGGGTCCCACGCGGATCCAAGCGGGACCTCGCCATCCCCGGGGGGCTGCGAAGTGTGAGACGGTTGCCACTTTCGAGGGCTGCTGGGGGGGCCAGCACAGTGGGGTCCCACGCAGATCCCCCCCCCAAACCTCGCCATCATCTCGCTGCTTCTGCCGAGGTGATTGTGAGTCCGCCCCGATGTCTTCCTTTTGCCCGTCATTCCCAGTACAATGCCCCCTGGCCTCTTGTACCCCTGTTCTGCGAGTCGACCACGCACACTTCGCACGACATAGATATCCGCCGTGCACCGTCTCTTGCAGTGTTGCTGCCGCATTATTACCGACTAGCCTTATATCATCCCTATGTGCCGATGGGCTGGGTTCGTCGCAGGGTGATTTTTGTCAGCGGCGACTTGGGCCCAAGACGCGGTCGGGGCAGCCGAGGGACGCTTCGGTGCCTAATTTTAAGTCGGGCCTGTCCCCCTACAGGGGGAATATTCAAAAATAGTCCCAAAATCGTCGGGCATATGTCTCTAATATTGTTTGACCACGTTGGGGCATTTTTTTTCTGTATTTTTTTCCCCCAAGATCTCCCTGTAGGAGGACAGGCCCGACTTAAGCCTAATTCTGCACAGCAGGAAAGGACGGGCGCGGAGGGGGGGAGAAAGCCGCGGGCGTCGGAGCACGCCCAGACTGAAGATTTTGCACGTGTGTGCCGGAGCACAGGCTCCCCACGGGCAGCAAGCCGGGAGCGGCAAGGCGAACCTTCGCACCGGGGAGCGGCAAGCGGCGATACTGGCGAAGCAGCTGGACGCACTCCTCCCGCGCGTTTTTCCCGTTTCCCTCCTCCCTCTCCTCCTCCTCCTCCTCCTCCTCCTCCTCCTCCTCCTCCTCCTCCTCCTCCTCCTCCTCCTCCTCCTCCCCTCCTCCTCCTCCTCCTCCTCCTCCTCCTCCTCCTCCTCCTCCCCTCCTCCTCCTCCTCCTCCTCCTCCTCCTCCCCTCCTCCTCCTCCTCCCCTCCTCCTCCTCCTCCTCCTCCTCCTCTCCTCCTCCTCTCTCCTCCTCCTCCTCCTCCTCCTCCTCCTCCTCCTACCTCCTCCTCCTCCTCCTCCTCCTCTTCCCTCTCCTCCTCCTCCTCCTCCTCCTCCTCCTCCTCCTCCTCCTCCTCCTCCTCCCGCCGCCCAGGAGACCTCTCACGGCTCGCGCGCATGAGAATCGCCTTGCCTTCTGCCGTTGCCCAGGTTTACCGCGCGCGTTCACCTTCGGTAGGCTCCTGCGACGTCGGCGCTTGAAGAGGAATGCATTAAAAAAGCAAGAACAGCTTCCAGAGGTCCGCGCGAATTTATTGGATCGGCACTGGACCCTCCCTCCCTCCCGGCGCCTCTGGCGCTGCCCTTGGCGCACTCCGCGCGCTGGGGAGTGGAGCTCAGCGTCGATGCAATATGTCCGCGCGAACCCACCCAAGTCTATGTCCATCGTTTTTGCCGAAGATGCCGTAGCTGCGCGCCGCGTCGACGTGGCGGCGAGCGGTCAGAGTTGAACGCCATCGGTGCCCCGAAAAGCAGCCGATGCACCACGAGGCGGGTGCGAGGCAGGACGCGGCCAGCCATGCGAGCAGGCAATGACGCTTCGATGCTCGCTCTCAGCCTTCTTTTCCCTCCGGAGTGCGCTGCCGAAGAACTCCTCATCGTCAGCATCGTCGACGTTGTCATCGTCATGGTGCGGCTGGCACGAGGGGCTGACAACAGTCGTAGCTTGGGACAGGTGCCATCACATTCTTTGCGCTCTGGCTTTCCCTTCTGTGGTGTGCTCCTGGCCGGCGCGGGGTCCCGTGTTCTTCGCCTGCGCTCTCGCGGCCAAACCTCGGCTGCAGTGCTGCTGCGCCCGGGCACTCGCAGCAGGGGAGCCAGAACGGCGGAGAGAAACGGCATCAAAGCAGGGTTTGGACAGTCAGAAGTTGGACGAGCACAGCAGGTTCGCGTCGTGTCGACGCTGCGACTCCGCTGCCGGCGTTCAACGTTGAGCGCCGCCGGCGGCCTAGAACCTTGACGCTTCGGAAACGGCCGATTCTTCAAGGTTGAACGATCCACGCGGTGTCAGAAAAACCAACGCCGAAGTCGACACGACACGAAGGTGCCGTATCTGTACGTATATTGTTCGTGGTTCTGTGCCCGTTTTTTTCTCGCCGGGCATGGGTCCGTTTGATTGTGGCCGTTGCTTGGGCCAGGGCTCGTTTCTGTTGTTCACCCAGCGCGTTCCACTACTCACTCGCAAGCGTCCGACAAACGAAATATATGTGTCTTCCTCTATGCAAGGGACCGCAGATCCCCCGTGGCGGATCTAGGCCATCTGCGAGCAGTTGCTTTGCGAGCAGTGGAGCGCGCTGGTCCAGTTGTTGCTTGGCCAGGAACGAGTTGCGAGGAAGTTCCGAACGAAACGTGCCCCACATCACGCCAAGCGAGGCCCTTACCCCTTGGCCGTGCGAAATGCGAGGAACTCCCAAGCGAAACCGCACCCAGACCGAGCCAAACCTGGCTAGCTGCGAGGACCTCATTCGAAAGCGAAACTGGTCCCAGGCCAAGCAGACTGCGAAGTCCTCTCGGGCGAACCCCGCCCCAAAGCAGGCAAATTGTGAGGACCTCGCATGCGAAGCCAGCCCCGAACCAGGCAACACCAAGGGCCTAACAAGGCGACTGTCAGGAGGAGAATGGCGCTCTCGCCCCGCCCCGTGCCGCCCTTCTGGATCTGAATCCTTCGTCGTTGCCGTCCCCCTCTGCTCCCCTCTTGCTCAAACCATGTTGGCTCGAGCGATCTTCCTGAGACAGCGGTCTTCCTGCTCGGATCCTTTTCCCTGTTAGACAGCGGCTCCCCGCGCCGGTAGCGCCCAGAGCAGATGGCCATGGCCCGCGAGCCCATGGGAACCCCGCGCACGGGTCCTTGGACGGCGCCGCCCTCCGGCTGCCCTGCGGATGCGGTGTCCTGGCAGAGGGTCACCTTCTCGGACACGACCTGGGGCAGCATGATGGCGCTCCCGCGCCTGCGGGGCGGAGCGCAGGAGCAGGGCGAAGCCAAGGCCGCGCCCGAGGAAGCGCAGCGGCGGGACGAGGCCGAGGCCGCGCCTGGGCTCGAGCTCCTGTGGGATCCGACGCCGAGGCGCGGCCGCGGTCCGCCCCTGGCCGTGCTCGGCGCGCGTGCCCGCGCGGCGATGCCGGTGGAGAGGCCGCGGCGGCCGCCGGGGCTGCGCGCGTGGGGTACGAGGCAGCACGGCAGTGCGGGCTCACAGGGCCAGGCCCAGCAGGAGGGCGGCTGCGCGCAAGCTGCCGCCCACCACTGACCACCCCAGCCCAACCCGGAGGCCCCGATGTGCCCTCCATTTCCAGGGGGGGGGGTCGGGGAACAGTGAAAACACACACACACACACACACACACACACACACACACACACACACACACACACACACACACACACACACACACACACACACACACACACACACACACACACACACACACACACACACACACACACACACACACACACACACACACACACACACACACACACACACACACACACACACACACACACACACACACACACACACACACGAAGTCCGTACCCCCCACCCATCCGCAATTCGGGTGTTCGGGTTGGGTTGGGGTAGTCTGGTAGGCAGTCAGTGAGAGTGATCCTTCGTCGGAGCGGCCTTTTGGGCGCGGGTCCACCCAGGAGGAGGGGGAGGAGGAGGAGGAGGAGGAGGAGGAGGAGGAGAGGAGGGAAGGAGGAGGAGAGGAGGAGGAGGAGGAGGAGGAGGAGGGAGGAGGAGGAGGAGGGAGGAGGAGGAGTAGAAGGGGGAGAGGGTGGGGGATGTGGGAGTAGGGGGGGAGGAGGGGGAGGGTGGAGGGGGAGGGGGAGGGGGAGGGGGACTCGAGGACTCGAGAGCAGAGGGCACCACGGTCGACTCCGCCGCCGCGGCCCCTGCGCCCGCGCACGCTGCGCGGGCTCTCAAGAGGTCGCGAGCCAGCCCCAGAGACAGGGCGGGCTCCACCTCACTGCCACTCCAGGGCAGAGTAAATCAGCGGGGCAGCTGCCCCGTGAGGTCGCGAGCCAGCCCCAGAGACAGGGCGGGCCTCCACCTCACTGCCTCTCCAGGGCAGAGTAATTCTGCGGGGCTGACGCCCCGAGCCGTGTAGTCACCCACGCAGACGCCGCCCAGCATCCACACGTGGAAGCTTGCCACCATGCGCCCGCGTACGCTACGCGGGCTCTCAAGAGGTCGCGAGCCAGCCCCAGAGACAAGGCGGGCTCCACCTCACTGCCTCTCCAGGGCAGGGTAATCAGCGGGGCATCTGCCCCATGAGGTCGCGAGCCAGCCCCAGAGACAGGGCGGGCCTCCACCTCACTGCCACTCCAGGGCAGAGTAAATCAGCGGGGCCGAAGCCCCGAGCCGGGTAGTCATCCACGTTGACGCCGCCCAGCTGCCACACGTGGAAGCTTGCCGCCATTCGGCGGCACCGTGCCATCAGGCCAGTTGTGGCCCGCCTTTGGAGGTAGTCCTTGACGGAGTCGGCGGAGAACAGTTTGGCCACTCGTGGTGATCTGCTCTCTGCACTTTGTCGCCAACAGAGACACTCGTCCATGTCCATCGTCATTGTGTGAAGCCACCGCAGCACAGTTCCAACACCAGAACTGCCCATGAGCAACTGATATCGCATGGCTGGGGTGAATGACCTTGTCATTGACCTCTATCATCTCATTGTTTGGTACTTTTACGGCGTGTCCGTGATCAGTTCGGTGGGTCTCATATTGTCGTCCGATGCATACATTCGCTTTCAGCCATTCCACTAAACTATACTTGCCAGGCGAACACCAACACTCCTGGCATACCCATTGCCCTTTTACCTTCCGCATGTTGTGGCCAGAAACTTCTTCTAATTGGCGGCGTTTTTCTCGTCGCCGGCGGATCAACTGGTTGGGCAGGTGCGGAGGTCTGTTCAGTTTGGTCGGGTCAGCGTCTTTGCAGATCTCATGTATGATGGCCGCACCGCGTCGCTGAATGCGCATCAGCAGGGTCTCGACCTCGGCTAGTTGCTTGACCTCGTCACGTATGTCCTTCATGGCCTCCTCAGCGCCACGTTGAGCTAGGGTATCTGCCATCTCATTTCCCAGACTGACGTGGAAGGCTTGTTTGGACTGCTTGATTGATTCATGATCAAGGTGAGATAGGCACTTAATCACACATACATCTTCTGCTCCTCCAGGTCGGTTTTTAATCGTGCTCTGGATGCGTTCCCACCATTCACGGAGAGCACCCTGTGGTTTGTCGTAGAAACGCTGGGTCCACCCGTTCACCACTTGCTGACAGTCAGTATAGATCGTGATCGGTCCTTTTGTGAGCGCCAGTGCCCAGAACAATGCAGCATGTTCCGAGGCAGGTACACTTTGCTCTCCGTCGACCATGCCGTAGAAGCCGATGTGGGGCGTATCGTCGATATTGCCGGTGCTGATGTCAGGCCCGTAGTTGGTGCTCAGGGCATGGGTAAGAAAGTGTGGCGCCGTGTCTTCATTCACGCCTTCGCTGCCGTTATAATGCTCAGGGAATTCCTGTTCGAAGGTAGGAGCTCGGCCCCGAAGTAGCTGGCGAAACTTCTCTTTGATATCCGAGACGCTGTCGAACCAGTGCTTGACGTAAGCCTCCCTTTCCCATCCATGGGGCGTGAGGTAATAGTCATGCACCCCCTTGCGCATCTTCTTGGACGTGCGCCAGTTCATGTCACATAGGTCCTTTACAATGCTGCTGACGCTCCTGGTCTGGTAGCGTGCCCTGAGAAACTGCAGTAGTCGTGCTTGCTCAGGTTGGCGTAAGAACTGCTGCATATACGGCTCGCACCATAGCTTCCAGCTGTCATGGTTTCGACTTTCATTGTTGTCAATAGCCACTGTCCACGTCGCTGCCCAAACACCTAGGTCGTTCATCACGTCCTTGTGTACCTGCTCCGTGTCCTCGTCCGTTGGGGTCTGTACCACATCGCCTGATTCCAACATGGCATGAGAAGAAATAGCCTGGCACCACAGTCGCTCGCGTCCTAGTTTATGCTGTGCCTGTCCGTCGCATAGCTGAAGTGTTAGTCCCCATCCAACTCTGTTGATGCGCTTATCGTTGCTGCTTCCAGATCTGTCCACAAACGCAAAAGAGCACTGTACTGGGTTGATGGTGACCATTTCTTTTGCATAAACCGTAGGGCCCTCTGTGGCCGTGGTCCAATAGCTTCCATCCCAAGATCCCCAAACCGGTGGTGGTGGTACTGGGTTACGATGCTGCGGGAGAAGTCCACGAAGCCAGAAGGCCTCAGTGTCAGGGTCGTTGTACATTTCTTCCAGCGCTCTTCTGCAGAGAGTCTGAGACTTGACAACCGCCTCAATGCTGAGGTTGTCGTTCATCTCGCACTCGTATAGCCTGTGCTTGATGGTGTCCGCTGCTTTGGAACATCTTGGACATTTGGCGTCAGTACGATATCCAGCATCTTTGCACCGTTGCCCAGTCCATATCGCACCACGCGCAAGGGCTTCGAGCGCTCCTGCTTCTTGTGCGCGGTCTGCTTTGCGGAGCTTCTGTAGGGTCCTCTTGAGCATGGTCGCGCCCATGCCGTGCTGCATACCTTTGCCGTAGTAGTGGTCCGCTGCCTTAAGCCAGAGCTGCGCTTCCATGTCTTGGGCGATGGTACGCATGATGTCTTTGAAATCCAGCTCGTCATCGTCCTTGAACCTCCAAATGCTTCCGCGTGGATCTTCCCATACATCTGGCTGATTCGGGTCCCATCCAAGCTGTTGTAATGATATCATTAGCGCTCCCATGGGTCCAGTGACTGAGTTCCGCCGTCCACGTGGCTTCATTGCTTTGAATCTTTGGATTACATGGTCCCATCCTTGTCGCAGTCGGTCGTGCGCTGGAGATTCGCGTTGCCATGTCTGTACCCATTCTCGTACTTTGCGCTGTAAGCAGGCTGTGGCGGGCTCGTTCTCTCCATAGAAGATCAAGTTGATGGTGGAGGTGCATCTGCCTCCAGTACTGAAGCCCACCATATCCGCTGCTTGAGCTCGCGCATCTCGAACTGCACTTGGGCTGAGCCCTGAAACTGGCCAATCATAACTTTGCTTCGCTCTGAGGTTCGAGTTGAAAAAGCATGGCTGTTATGCGGCGCCAGCGTCCTTTCTGTTTGCTGAAAAGCTTGGCCCGTTTTGCTCTTAGCGTGGCCTGCTTCGTCCTGGTCGTGCGCGTCGCTGTGACTCGGTGCCGTCCAAGCGCCGCATCAATGCCTAAGTCCTTTACGTACTGCCATTCTGCTTCAGCTGCTTCACGATGTGTTTCTTGGTCTCGATGCTGTTCGTCAGTAGTGCTGACTTGCCTGATATCACCAGCTTAGACTCCAAGCATGCTTGTACCATGGTAACGACTGCCACAGGGAACTGCTCCTTGAAGTCCGCAGGGTGTCCTTCAACTCTGGTGTGTAGGTCATCGACAAACTCACGTGCAATAGCCAGGGGTGCTGCATTGTGCGTTTTATCCAATATGACGCAGACCATGTCCCTCGCTGCATGGTTAGCTGCAGCGCATCCTGGGACTATGCCATTCCATGGGCAGATGGGTTCTGCATGATCATGGCAGGCTCTGACTATACGTGGCGAGAGATACATCAGCACACTCACATATAAATTAACCGCTGGATAGTTGAGTTGCATTGCCCTCCTGATCAGGATGCGGAGGTCCACGCTGCCATATAATTTCTCCAAGTCTAAGTAGAAGGTGCCGTAGAGCGATCCCTTGAGCTTCGCACTGGTTTCGTCGAGAGCCATCGACAGTACTGCTGCGCGTAAAGCTGAAGATCCTTGAATCGCTGCATCCCAATGCCCCGCCTTTCTGCGCACCATTCTTGCATTTCCCATTTTGCCATCTTACCCCAAAGTCGCACTGGGAAAGGTAGTAAGCCAATCGGTCGCTCCTCGCATGCTGTATTGGAGCCAGCTTTGGCCAATAGATGGTACCAAAGATGGTAAAATTGATGCGGCCAGCACAAGTTGCGTTCACATGAGTTTATCGCAAAAACGAGGCTACGCTTAGCGTCATCTGGTAGGGCTTTGATCTCAGATGGCTGCCATTGATCGGGCCCTCGCGCCGTCGCGGGACGAAATGGGGGAAGCGCAGCTTCGAGGTCGTTACCATCGTAGAACGCACGCTGAGGAAGTTCGGCCTGAGCTGCTCGTCGAAGCTCTGTCATGGCCTGCTCGAGCTGCTCGCTATTGTT